CTCTGTATATCTGAGTTTCCAATAAAACAAGTAAATCTTAAAAAAAAAAAAAAAAAAACTTTAAAACTTGGGCAAATGTCTAGATTTTCTTTAAATTATGGATTTAGGAAATGAGCTTGATGCTAGAAAAGTCTGAAGATGAACTGATATTTTTAGAGAATATGATATAATAAGTTGTGAAATTGAAATGTGTAAGTGAGCTTTTAGAATATGTTTACTGTTTACAAGAGAAGCAGAGTGTAAGTTGGACAGTTGGGGTGCTCTGAAGAACTAGGAAACAGGAGGAGCTGAGAAGCACATACAGCAGAGCAGTGCGTGGTGTTGAGGTAAAGCCTGGTGCTCCTCTTGCCTGGCCACTCTTTGCGGCTGTGTGTCCGCAGTGTCCACAGGCCCTTGGCCTCTGCTTCACATTCTGATTGGATTTTCTTTGGCTGCAAGGAAGTCCAGCGGTGGCTATAGCCCAAGCATCGTCTTTCCCTGTTTTGACATCCATTCATGTAAAATGCAGTTGTATCTTCTTCCTCACTTAAACCCATAATATGCTGTATAAATGATGGAAGTTATTGGTTGGTCCTTTAAAGTATTTTAGCCAAAGACCATTACTCCAAAAATGCAAAAAAATTCTATTCATTTGAAAATATTGTAAACCAATTCTTGCATGTCCCAAATTAATATAAAATCATTATATGCCCGCGTGTTATGGAGCCCAGAAAAACTTCAAAAACAAGACAGATTCTAAGGAAGGTATTCCAGGATGTAGGCCACATCTCTTCTTTATGAAGAATTCGTACTTTGGTTGATTGTGATCTGTGAGAAGTCTTCAAAACTATCAAGGGAATTACATAGTATTTAAAAGTGGCAAAAACATTTTGCTCCAAAATGAACTTTTTGTTGTTGTTTTGTTTCTGTTGACTCCGGAAGTTCCCACTTCTTTGGAAGTCAGGGTAGAGTTGGTGACTTCGTGTGTAGGTTTGGTCTGAATCCTGATGTTGCTGTCCGACTGTTTAACGTTAGATGTTTTTATACACACTGAAATGAAGATGATAAAAGTTGGGTACAGACTTAGTGGGAGGATTTGAGCTCTTACATGTAAGCTGAAATCCTTTATAAGTGCTTAGTGAATCATAATTGTTAAAATGTTATCAGAACTCGATACTATCATAAAAGGCACTTGTAGGAATACCCCTGAAAGCCCTGATACAGGAGACAGCACATGCATCCCAGTGTTCATTGCAGCACAGTCAGTAACTGCAGAAACATGGAAGCAACAGAGGGCTGGATAAAGACATCAGCTCATCTACTCCATGGAATGCTACGCAGCTATTTAAAAAAATGAAATACAATTGCTTATGGCCAAATTGGCCTAACTGGAGACCATTATGCTAAGGGAAATGAGCCAATCCCAAAAGGTCAGATATCATATGTTTGCTCTAATATAACAGGCATTAAAATACAACAACAACAACAAAAGGAGAACAAATAAGCACATAGAACCCCACAATTGAAGGATGTAACAGAGAAGAGAATGCCAGGAGTAAAGGAAAATCAACGGAATGCATTTCTGCAAAAGAACACAGGTAGACATGTATCTAATTGTAAGAGATTGTGCTTGGATGAGGCTCGATGTTAGCATGGCCAGGGGAAGTTTAGCACATCATCCCAGGGAATGGTTCTTTCCTGTTCCAACTCACAGTAATATGATGTAACAGCCAAGGATTTTACTTGTGAATTTTTACCATTTTGCACTTCTTAGTTATTTGTATGTATTGTAAGATAATTCATTAGTTATCCATAAGACATTGATTGATTGTAATCACCTAAGATTGTTAATGTCCCTTTGATCACTGTTATTGCTATGCTCAGAAGTAGTGATAATTTAGTCCTTATTATACTTTCATTAGTGCCACATGAGACATACGCTGGCGTCTATTTCTATGTGAGGATTCTTGACTCTTTCTACGATTCTTGACTTTTTCATGACCCTAGGGTCACACCGATTCCTTTGTTACATGTTCATTACCTTCATGTGAATGAAGGCTCACTGCTGGTCTCCCCATGGTGGACTGTGCACACTGACTCCATATCTAAGGGCATTTATAATGGAAGTGTAGCAGAAGTTAATACATGCATAGGGGAAACCGAATGTGTCCATGCATGCTGTTCAAGGATGGAATCTCAGCAAAATGATAATGTCCTGACAGTTGGGTGTTGGACCCCCAACATTGTCCACACCTGCATTGTTGGGAGACACCTCAGGGGCAGCATGCTGAACTAGTGAGCGCTCGCAACAGACCCCCATTAGAAAGCTGAAGGGAAATCAGTGGAGAGGGGGAGGGGAAGGCTCAGTGCCTATTAAACTGTGTCATAAAACAAAATAATAATAATGGTTAAAAAGGTATTATTGATAAGATGGACATAACTGTTTTTTTTTCCCAAGCCATTCATTACAGGTTGAAATTATATGTTAATATCAGTGACTTACATAATTTTATAAATGAGGTATCTACTTCAGTTTAACAACAGCTGTGTGCCGGTGTACCTGGCATTGGTGTGGGCAGAGTGGGTACTGTGTATTAGGAGAGCCTGTGGGTTTATACAGAATGTATCTAATACCCCTGGGATGAGGCCCAGCACAGCTTTGCAGGGCCTTCCCAGTGGGAAGACTTGATCTTAACACACATCTAACCTTACTGTCGGTTCTTCTCTTTCTAAAAGTGCATAAATAGAAACTTAGTCTGGAAGTCTACAAACACTGATACCTGTCTTGGATCATTTTGTTAGTTCGTTAACTTTTCTGCACCTCTTTAATTTGTCTTTGCTCTTTTACATGCCAGTCAGGGCAGTACGAAATGAATTAACGATGCATATATAGGTCTGACTCAGACCTTTAACTTGTGTAAGAGGTCGTTGTGGTGTAGAGCCCAAGGAGATGGTTTCCTTTGACAGTGAACACTCATCTCTGCCTGCCAAGGATAGGTTCTTTTCGTCTTTCTGTCTAGTTTAAAAAATAAATTGGTTTAAAGTGTTGGTGAAGTCCTGTGTGTGTGTGCCTGTGTGTATTTGAAATTTATAAACGGAAACCCACACTTCTATCGTTGATGAATTAAAAGGGCAGATCTTATCAGCCTTATTGTTATTTTATCTTAAATAGTAGCCATTATAATTGCAAGAATTATGTAGAAGTAGAAAACCTTCTTCATTTTTCAAAGCTTACTTTTATTTATTAAGAAAGGAGGGTTTTACAGAAAGAAAGGGAGAGACACAGAGATCTCCATTTCCTGGTTCACTCCCCAATAGGCCACAACAGCTAGAGCTGAGCTGCTGTGAAGCTGGGAACCAGGAGCTTCTTCCCAATCTCCGACACAGGTGCAGGAGCTGGAGGATTTAGGCTGGTCTCCACTGGCTTGGGCCATTCCCCATTGGTTTTTCAGGCTGTAAGCAGAGTGCTGGATGGGAAGACAGGAACAGGAATCACTGCCCATATTGAATGCCAGCTCCCGTATATTTGTTTGAAATGTAGAGTGACAGAGAGATCCAGAAGCTACTTGTTCATTCCTTAGTTGGCCTCAGTGATCTGCCAGAGCTGGGCCAAGCTGATGCCAGGACTGGAGTTGTGGCCAGGCCTCCCACATGGTGGCAAGGACTGGAACGCCTGGACCAGGTGTGCTAGCACCAGTATGTAGTGCTGGTGTCACAGCCTGCCTCACCTGCAGATGCCCGCCATGCCATGCCTGGTTAGTTTTATGAAGTATGTAGCTATAAATTTGCTGTCACATCTCTGTGCCATCTCGGTACCAAATGAGGCAGTACTAGAGTTTGTATGATTTGTAGGAGCCTTATTAGATGCTAACCTGCATGGTTGTTTGGGGGAAAGTTAATTCTTTATTTTGGCAGATTTTGTTGCTCTTGTTTGTGTTTAGTTTATAGGGAAATATGGCTGTTGGTCTTTCTATCTTGTTTAGAAAATAGATTAAGCTGTTGGTGAAGTCCTGTGTGTATTTGAAATTTATAAAGAGAAACCCACACTTCCATCATCGATGGAATCGAAAGGGTTTTACTTATTACACAGTATATTAATGTTCATAAAGTTTTTGTAGAATTATTCCAGTTACATAAAATTTTCAAAAATTATATTGTCTTCCAATATTTCATACTGCCCTAAATTAAATATATGTGTGTGTGTGTGTGTGTGTGTGTGTGTGTGTGTGTGTGTATTGAGCTAACTAGCCCAAGCCTTTGACACTGTGGAAATTAAATAACTAGAGCTAGGATTCTAATAATTAACTCTTTAACAAATAAATTATTTTTATGAATTCTGTATGTCCTCTAATTCACTGGAAAATGAATTATATAAAGTATGTTCTGTAAGATCATATGTCCATTTGAAACTGTAGTCCTCACACACTTGTAACAGACATGCAGAGTGTGGGTTGATGTCTGGGTCGGCACTTTGGGGGACTTTGTCCTGTGAAATGCGGGGCGGAGAGGAGCTTCTCCACACTCCAGATGACACATGTGCTGACACAGCACTGCTTGCTGATCAGTCAGATGGACTAAGGTGCATCCCTGCTAGAGAGATGGGAACAATCTGTGTAATAAGTGTTTTCGTGGAGGTGATGATTTCAGATGGTTTGTGTGTGCACGGGCAGGCATGCACGCTCACACACTTGCCATGTGTTTGCCCAACAGAACTAGCTGTATGCAGTAAGTCGAGTAAATACTGTTGTTATTTATAAAGACTTATGATAATCTTTATTCTGTACTTAGATATAATTGTGAGAATGTATTTAAAGAATAAAATACTGAACACTATAGGTAAGTTTTTATGGCTTCCATTGAAAATTTAGCTAGCTTCTTTGTGGGATTATTGGTGATTTACCATCATTTGTAGGCTTTTTGGCTCATTGAATGATAGATCTAACATGAGGATTACTACAATAGAGTATGACATTTTTGCTTTCATCAAACCTTGTATTAATAATTTACAATTTTTATTGCAGCTAGAACGAGTAAATCTGTCTGCAGCTCAGACTCTGAGAGCTGCTTTCATTAAGGTAAGATGCAAATAACTTATTATCATGATTTAAATGTATATTATACATAAGCCTAAGTACGTTATGGTGATTGGAAACTTCTTTCAATGAAAAACGTTTTAGCCTCCTTTTTCTGTAAAGCTTAAAATACTTCCAGAAGGGGAGCTAGAACAATAATTCCTGGGCATTCATATTCTCAGCCCTGTGTGTGCTTTTGAAAATGACCTCTTCAGATTGTAGCTCTCTTATTAACTGTAGGGCATATTTTTTAATCCTTTTTACCAATTAATTTGTTAAAAATTTACATGTAGGACCCCAGTTCAGTAGCATAGTGACTATAGTCCTCACCTTCCATGTGCCGGGATCCCATATGGGTGCCGGTTCTATCCTGGCTGCTCTACTTCCCATTCAGCTCCCTGCTTGTGATCTGGGAATGCCGTCAAGCACGGCTCAAAGCCCTGGGAACCTGCACCTGCGTGGGAGACCCGGGAGAAGTTCCTGGCTTCGGATCTGCTCAGCTCTGGCCATTGTGACCACTTGGGGATTGGACTCTAGTGGACAGAAGATCCTCCATTCTGTCTCTCCTTCTCTGTAAATCTGTCTTCCCAATATAAATAAATAGTTTTTTTAAAAAGAAAAATTACGTGTAAACTTACAGCTTGAAGAGATATTCTTCATACTGTTTAGTTATTGAATGTAAGTTAAGGTTTTAAGTGGGAAAATAATATCCCCATATGCGAATGACACTAGGCACCTGTCGTATAGCAACACAATGATTTAAATGATATACATTATAATAAAGCTATTTTGATATTCTAATAACTTGCAGTGCAGTGCATTTGTACATATACACATTAACCATTAGCTTTCTTACAAAACTTCTCGAAGAATAGGGTCATTTTTATCAGAGGCGGAGAAGAAGGGAGAAAGCTAGAGGCTGGCTAATAGATATAGGGGCTTAGATAGGGGAAGTGACTTCTTATGTCCTGTAGCACGGAAGCTTAACTCCGAGTGACAATTAGTTAAATAATTTAGAATAGTATAGAGGAGTTTGTTTCTAACAGAACCAAGAAACAATAAAGATTTGAAGTGATGACTATATCAGTTACACTGATCTGATTATTAAAAGTGCATTTATGTATTAAAATATGACGCTGCCCCATAATTACATACTATTATTACGTGTCAATTAAAAATTAAAGGGAAATAATGTTCTGCTGAATCATTGGACTGACAGAGAGAACTAAGATGACACTGCAGTGACCTTGTGCTTTTCCTTTGGGTTTTCCATGTGAGATTCCAATGACACATGGGGTTAGTAGGGAAACATGGTAGTGCCATGCCGTAAGCAGTGCTGTGGCATGGGAAGGTCACGTTACCTTTTACACGCTGCTGTGTTGGTAAGGCAGGTGCCAGTTTCACAGCTTTGCTGGTACCAGGAACAGAAAGAAATTTATCCTCTGAACATTCATAAACAGCATCCCGTTGAGGCCCCAGTCTGTGTGATGATACTCCTAAGTGGTAAAATAGTGAGGCTTGTTATCACCAGCAGCACTGCTACTGTCCTAGCATATAAGCTGATGTGCAGTTGTCTGGGAAAGATCGAATTGGAACGTAGGTGAGGGTTTGTGTGGTGTTTTTGTTCTGTTTTTTTGGAAGAAGACAAATTAGTCAGTTTGGGTTGGTTTGTTTTTCACTATCGTGAGATTTCAAATGATTGTGTGAGAGGGCATAGCACTGAAAAGCTGAAGGTTTTTAGTTATTTTAACTGTAAATTATTTAAAATGATAAAGTTCATACAGCTACAAGCTCTTGTCTTTCCAGTTCTTGGGCCATCACATCAGTGATTTGTATCCAACTTTACTTTGTTAGGTAGAGAAATTAATGCCGCGAATAATTTTTCCCAAGGGAAAAACAAAGCAACACTGTGATTATATCCTTGTAGATCTATTTCCTTCTTCACTCCTTGCCACCGTCACCCCTCGAGCATCCCTCTGACTGGTCCTATTTCTTGAGACACTGATTCTTAACAGTGGGTGCTGCTGCTGCTGCCCTTTGGGGTCTTTTTTCTCTTACAACTGGAGATTCGTAAGAGTTAGATACCCATCGAGGTCAAGGTTGTGTTCTGAGAGAAGATCAGGAGGTGCGAGTGCATATGATTAGAGTCTGATTTAAGAACAGATCTAATTTTCGGGCAGAGATACTGAGTTGATTTGAGCTTTTAAACTAAGAAGTAGCTTAACCAGAACTTGTGCCACAAGATACTAAGACTGCTCTGTGTAAACTGTGTACTCGGGCTCAAGCTGGCATCCAGAGACACTTTAGAATTTGTAGTCATACAGCCAGTGCTCCTTGGCTTTTGTTTGACGCTGCGTGAGCTGCTAGCTTGAAGTGATTAGTGATTTTCTCTGAAGCTGGACTTTGGATCCCAGCAGTGATGAAAAAGAAGTGCCACAGGAAGATCATTGTGTAAGAGGAAATGAACGTGCCAGGGACCAATCTAAGTTCAACATTTGGAAAATTGTACAGTGCCTGGTAGATACATATTCTATTAATAAGTAATTGTTTTGCCTCTTGAAAATGAAATGAAATTCTTTCCAATGTGTGTGTGTGTATTTCCTTCTAGGACTTTTCTTTGGTTTGACACTGTCTGCTTACTAACAGCGCTGTTAGGTTCACTGTCTTCTTCATTGTTGTTTGTTTTTTGTCTTTTTTTTTTTCTAAGATCTATTTTTATTGGAAAGACAGATATATAGAGAGGAGGAGAGACAGAGAGGAAGATCTTCCGTCCGATGATTCACTCCCCAAGCGGCCACAATGACTAGAGCTGAGCCAATCCGAAGCCAGGAGCCAGGAACTTCTTCCAGGTCTCCCACGCTGGTGCAGGGTCCCAAGGGTTTGGGCCATCCTTGACTACTTTCCCAGGCTGCAGGCGGGGAGCTGGATGGGAAGCAGGGCCTCTGGAATTAGAACCAGTGCCCATATGGGATTCCGGTGCGTTCAAGGTGAGAGCTTTAACTGCTAGGCTACCACACTTGGCTCATTGTTGTTTTGTTTTACCTTTGAGCCAAACTCTGGCATTTCCTACAAAGAGTGCTCCTCTGCTTCCAGGGTAATTAACCACTTAGGTAGCTTGAATGCAGCCTATGCAAGAGAAACATGGTCATGAAAGGCCACATTGTATGTGATTTATGGCATTTCACCAATTTTCTACTCCTGCATCTTAGTCCACATTTGGCTAACATTCTTTAAAAGACCCTTTTTATTTGTTTTTAAGATAGATTTTATCTTAAATGTACCCTTAGATGGAAAAATGAGAGAGCTCTTGAAAGGCGATCACCCATCAGAATACTTCCCTTAGCAGCACCTCACAGCAGTTACAGTGGCTGGAGACTGAGATAGGTGTGTGCATTTGCCTTCCCCATTTCATTCCATAACCTTCAGTTTTTCGTACTTAGATTTAATGAGAAACAGGGTGTTACAATGGAAAGAGCAACAGTACAGGAAGCCTGTGTCAGCCATGATCGTGAGTGAGTCGGAGAGGAAGCAGATTGACCATGCTTGACACAGAAAGAAGCAACAAAGATTACTCTCTGATTAAAAGCATAAGTCGTGTTTCTATGTGCTAATTGACTAGGATGAAGAAAAAATGGAAATTATCAGGATAATGGTTAAAGCTGAAAACCTATCAAACGATAATCTTGTCTGGTTACAAATTTTAAAAGACAGTAACAAAGTAGACCAGAATTAGTGAAGAAAAAGGGAAACTGAAAATCAACTTTTGTCAAATCAGAACTCTTCGCTTTCAGTCTTAAAGGGCTTAAAGAGTGTAGCGTCCCAGGAAGTCTGAATCACAGTTGAGCCAGTGCAAGCTCAGCCCAGAAAAAGAAACAGAAACAGCCCAGAAAATAGTAGAAGGGTTAATGAGCATTCTGCAAGCAAATGAAGGAAGCAATCTATGAAAATAAAACAAGAAATGAAAATGATTGTGTGAAGAAACAGTTAAAGGATTGCATCGTACCAATCAAATCTGTAGAAAAATGCCAAGTTTTGAGTTCTCTCGTACGAGACAGAGAGAGAACTATATCTCTTACTATTGCCAGCACTGGCTCAGAAGCCTCCTGGTCTTTTCCAAAGTTGGCCGAAGCTGTATTTGGACTGTTGTCTGCTGCTTTCCCAGGCCTTCAGCAAGGAGCCGGATCTGACCTGGCACCTCACCCACCTGAGATGCTGGTGGGATAGGTGGGGCAGCACCTTCAGCCCTACACCATTCTGGCCCCTGAAAAGAGCACTTTGTGGTTGTGGATTGCCAAGATACATATATGATCTTTATTTCTGTCTTTGTAGCTAGTTCAAGTGCATTAAATCTACTAGGAAAAATAAATACTAAATATTTTCTCTTGAAATAGACAATGGAACCAAGGTCATAGTAGAAGCTAAGTGAGTATGTGAGCTCTAGCAGAGCATGTGTGGATGCCATTTATGACGGCTGCTGTCCAGTGTCTGTCCTCGCAGTGGTCCACAAGTCCCTGACAGTTTCTAAATGTTCACATTGGACATGCAGCTATATGTCTATTTCAGAACTAACTTTCTCCTTCTCATAGGCTGAAAAGGAAAATCCGGGTCTCACACAAGATATCATTATGAAGATTTTAGAGAAGAAAAGCATAGATGTTAACTTCACCGAGTCCCTTCTTCGGATGGCAGCTGACGACGTAGAAGGTATCATCAAGGAGAGCCTTGCTTGTGTGTGCAGTTGTTGAAGGTCACCTCTGTCTTCCCTTCCCTGCTCACCTTCCACCTTTCCACTCACACTTTTTAAGGTAGAAAAAAAAGCTGGTATTTCAGCCAAGTCTAGGATTTATTAAAAAAAAAAAAAGGCCCTCATAGTGACTTAGACTGTTAGATCGTAGCCTTAATGAATTGGTAGAGTTGTCTGTGCCTTGCCTGAGCAAGCCTCTTCCCAAGATTGCCTGCTGGGATCCCAGCCATTCTGTTAGCTATGTAGTGACCTTTTCAAAGTTGAACTAGTTATTGAAGAGCCAGAACAAGAGCCTTCCCTCTGCGGCTGCACTTGAGCTGCCTGCCATGTTCAGCTGCAAAGGGGTCTGCATCAGCAGAAGGTAGAATCAGGAACCGAGCATTAAACCCAGCTATTCATTCAGTGTGGGAGATGGCCTTCTGAGGCTCCATCCCTCCCTATTAGGAAACGAGATTTCAAGAATATGCTACTTCAACTTGTTTATGGAAAATGGAATGAAAATGCATGTTCATTTTGATACAGAACAGTGTTTTGATACACAGTAATTTTTTATCATAATATATGAGAAGTGTACATGCATTTCAGAAATTTTTAACACCAAAATAAATTCATATTTTAAATTTCAGTTTTCCATAAACTTTTTGAATTGTGTTTGTATGTTGCCTTTGCCTAATTTATGAGTAGCCCTCCATTTGTGAAATGCTGTCTCAGCACACTGCTGTATGTATTAAGGCTCCCTTTCTAATAATTTTTTAAGAATATTGTGAACTTTACATTTATTTCAAGGTGAAAGTGCTTAGTTTGTGATCAGTGCAGCTAGGGCAAGCACTGATGTTTCTAGACTAAGGTGATTTCTCATAAATTTTACTTTTAACAACTTTGTGTTTGCCAATGCTCTCACCTCTCCCCTTCTTGTTCCCTTATGACCATGCATTGAGGATTCTTACACTTGAACTTAGTTGGGAATCCTGGTGATTTCTGTTTCTTTGTTTGTTTTGTCAGAGTATATGATTGAACGGCCAGAGCCAGAATTCCAGGACCTAAATGAAAAGGCACGGGCACTGAAACAGATTCTCAGTAAGATCCCAGACGAGATCAACGACAGAGTGAGGTTTCTGCAGACAATCAAGTGAGTGATTTGTTTGTTGTTGTTCATAAAAGTACACCAAGAGATCCACTGATTTTAGATGCTTTTCATTAAGTGAATGTAGTCTGAACTAAAAGAAATGGAAAAATCATAAAATTAAAATGAGAAGTAAATCAGGTTGATAACAAGATAACAAAGTTTTATTTCAGAAATGGCATAAGTTAAGTAGTGTAATCTAACTTTGGACCTCCAAATCCTTGTCTTTGACGTGACTTTGGGATGTGCCTGGAGCCAGGAGGCTGGCTGTTAAACAGTAAGGAAGGCTCGTCCCGGTGCAGGTGCAGTGGTTGTCAGAAATTCCTATAAAGGAAAAATAGGTCTTTTCCTAGACAAGACTGCATTGTATGTGTTAACTTGCAGAAACCTAAGGAAACTCTTTTGGGGACCAGAAACCTAACAGCTGTTTTCTAGAAATAGAATGCTTTGAAATTCACCCTGGGGAATAGCCCTCCTTCACAGCCCAGAAGCAGGAGCATGGAAAGCCTAACAGCCAGGCCTACACTGTGAGGGACAGGTACTTAGGGTGTTCAGTTCACTCCTATAAGAAGACTCCAGCTTTCCTGAGTGCTTTCAGGACATACTGCTGGGACAGTTTTCTTACTCATCTTGTGATGCTTAAGTAGACCTGTTTGGCCCATGGAAGGATGAATTGTCAGTGATCCCACTTGGTTGTTCAGACAGTGTATGTGAAGATGTGACATTTGGAGTGAACCTCTGGGGCAGTGCCCGCACACTCGGTTGGAGTGCCTGGGCTCTCATTCCAGTTTCATCCTGACGCATACCCTGGGAGATAGCAATGGCTGGCTCCACTACAGAGCTCTGGCCTGGACCAGCCCCTGCTCCTTGCACGTTTGCAATCTCTCCATCTCTCCCTTTCAAATATATTATGATTTTCAACAGATTTTGCTCCAGGTCACTGAAGCAGAGCTTTATAGAACCAGTATGAAGTTAATGATTACAGCAGTCAGTTAAAGAAACATACATGCTAAGCATTCTTTTTGATACTTTATGTGAGTTTCTGTAAGAAAATTAGGAAATTAGATAACTTTGTTGGGATCACAAAACTGACTAATGACGGAGTTGGATTTGATCCCCAGGATTCTTGTGCCTTGCTGCTCTTTCCAGTCACAGATTCATAACGTTGATTATGTCTGATGGTTGAAAGAGTGGCTAAGTCCTTTTTCTTTTTTCTTTTTAAATAGCACAGTGCTGTTTATGTAAGAGAGATGAGTCAGCCAAACCTACCTTTCTCTCAGTGACTCTCTGGGCATTTCCATTGAACCTTCTGGTTTTTTGTTTGTTTGTTTGTTTGTTTCTTTTATAAAAGCTTTGTTCTTAACAGCCGCATAAACATCAAGGGCTTTATGGGAGTCTTCTCTCATTTCTAAGGAAATGTCAGTAATATGTCAGTTGTACTTTCTGGAGTCAGCACAAATGGACAGGGTAATGGTGAAGAAAATTTATTAAGAGGGCTAATTTGCTAAGGGTGTTGATGTGTATTTTATTCCTGAGATTAAAATTCATCCATGTATAAATAATAAAAACAGCTAAGGTGTAATTTTGTTGTGATATGTTAGTGTCTTCATACATGTTTTTATCACTGTTTAATCTTCACAAAGTAATGGATAAAATTGTACCAGAATACAAAATGGCTGTCCTTAGGCACATACTTAAGAAAGTTCATGGAAAACAGAAACTAGGTCAGCTTAAAGCTCAGCACTCAGTGAAGCAGTTAAATTGCTTCTTTTTTCCCGGGGTTTCTGGGTTCTGGTCCCAGCTCTGCTTCCGCTCCAGCTCCCTGCAGCTGTGCGTGGCCCCTGAGGTTCCTGAGCAGTTGGAGGCCACCTGGCCCACTCCGCACTGTCCAGGGCGTTTGGGGCGTGAACCAGTACGTAGAAAATCTAGTGTGTCCATACGTATTCACTTAGATTCCTGTCTCTCCATTTCAAGTAAATAGAAAATTCCTCTTCAACGTTTATTTTCGTGCCATAAATTTTGAATTCTATGCAGGGTTTTTTTCATATATTCATTTCTCTTTAATTGTTTTAGATCTCTTATATGTAGATTTCAAAATGTTTTGCATAAAAGTAAATTTTTTATGAATTTTTTTGAAGTTTCCTCATACTTAGTTTCTTCATTTATTTTAGCAACATTTTTAAATGAGTAAATTTTTAAATAAGTAAACATTTTTAAATAAATTAAAAAAAAATCACACATCTTCTACCCCAGGTATTTTTTACACAGGTAACGCTAATGGATAATAAATATTCATACTTATTTTGATATTTTGTCAGACTTAAATTTGAATTTTCATTCCAGTGTTTAATTATGTGAGATTGGGTTAATTTGCTTTGCTTCTGACATTCTGTGTGCCTCTGAAAATGAGAGACAGTATTTGTGAGGATTGAAGTGATGTGCTAAGCCTGCACTGGAGTTAGCAGTATGACAACTCCTGCAGCACTGTGGGTTAGTAGATTGTGTAGTGGATATTTCTGTTCACAGCTGAGCTATGTGCATGTGTTATTAAATTGATTTTTCTTAAGTCTGTATGTCTCAATTTGTGGTAACTGGTGAACACTGGTGGTTTATTAATAGTAAAAGCCCCGTATTTATGTATTTACACTTTGCAGTCTACTTTTGTCTGTTTTGTGAAATATCCCCGGGGTTTATTTGTTTCAAGTTGGTCCTTTTCATGATGGCTTCAGAGCATCCTTTCCAGAACTGCACGGTCTAGATCAGGTTACACGGAAAAGAAACAGTACATCGTACAGAGTCACTTCAGCTTTCCTCTTCTTGGTCCCAGTTTGTCCTAAGATGAATGGTTGCATTTTGTCTGATACGTGTTTTCAGTGTGTTTTTTCTAAAAGTTGCCCTACTGTATAGCTGCATATCACCAGGCTCCTTTCCATTCTAGTCATATTGTCTGTCCCTTATCACAGAACCCTACTGATCCAAAGTGCGTGCATAATTCCATGATCGCTATTTTATCTAAACTTTCTCTGCTTAATGTACTTTTTGTTGTTGTCCTGAAATGTTATCTTATAGGACGTAAACTCAGGTAATTAACAGAATTTAGCTTTGCTTGTCTAGATGTTCGTGCCATAAGCAAACATTTCTCTATACATACAAATGACATAAATTATTTTTAGAGAACATTTCTCAGTGGCTTAATGTGTCATTAAGAGTGCAAGCAGAAGGCCGGACTTAGGGGTAAATGGCCTTGATCAGTACAGAATTCATTTAAAATCCTTTGCTGAGAAGATATCCGATCTTAGCTCCAGGTTCCCAAGCAACAGTAGCTTTCAAACTTGGCTGATCAGCACAGTCACTTGCAGAGTTGTTTTCTGTTTTGTTTCTCCCTCCCCTTTTATTAATAGCTAGAGGCAGCTGTGGGGCCTGCAGTGCCTTCCTCTGCTCCCACGGCCTGTAGGATCCGGCCGTCCCCACTGTGCGCACAGCGCGTGCTTCACTCCTCAGGCAGGCCTGCAGCAGCTCTGTGAGATCGTTTGTACCAGGATTTAAAAATGTGCTTTAGTGTGAAGCCTAGGGAGCTTGCTTTGCTGGTGACTGATTTTTCTTCCATTATATTCTATTTTGCATAGCTCAAGTCACAGTTTTTCTCAAACAGGAGGATGGTCATATTGACACCGTTATATTAAGCAGTAATGAGTTTGTAACTGTAGCAATGCAGAGGATTCCACTTGATGAAAATGAAAGGAACAGTATGTAACTTGCAGGTGCTGCTACCAAGCTAAATATAAATGAAAACAAAACGGAGTGGACAAGGTGGCATGTTTATATGAAATTGATTGTACCGATTCAATATGTAAACTATTTTAGTCTAATATCAGTGTTTGATTTGGTAAAATCACTAGGCTACTAAGAAAATATTTATTGAAATAATTAATGAAATTGTCACTACTTCATGGTAGACCAAACTGTTGTTTAATACCAATTGTTAAAGGCCTGCAGTTTGTAGAATTGTATACATTTATTAACTGGGAGGTTGCCAGGAAACATGCAAAAGCACACAGATATCTTGACATTGCGCTGTTTGTGTTTTGTGAGTATGTGTTTAAATAAAATGGAATCTTTTTGGTCTGGGATTATTGCAACCTGACATTTGTCATTAAAATATCAGTAATGGAAGGTTATACTTGAGATGGCCTCTGTCCAGCTCTGTCATGTCCTTACCCTTAACACTGCAGTGGAATAGTACGAGTTTCTGTAATGACTTAATGACTAGAAGAGATGTGAACAAAGAGAAGACTTAATTTAGACTAAAGGTAGAGAATTTAGGTTTATATAAAGTTCACTTCGATGGAAAAAAAACAGTTACTGTGACATTAAGATGTGAAAATTCAGAAGGGTGTAATAGGAAAGACAGCTTCAGGAAGTAGTGCGTGGATGGGAAGAACATCAAGCTGAAATAAAGAAATGGTTCCTGTCTTTAGAAAGGAGAAGAATGGATGGATGGATTTATAGACAAAGGGTCGTGCTTGAAAGGTTCTGTGGGACATTCTGTTGAGTACTGTCCAGAGAATTTAAAGATCATTTTTAAAGGAAGTGCTAACAGCAATGGGCTAGATTTGGCAGATAGTTACCACATAAAGAATAAACATGTCTAAAAAGGATGAAAAGGAGAAGGAATGTTGGCTTAAAAACGCAGGATATTTCTGGAGAAAGTGTTTTTAACTTCAGAACTATTAGGCATGTAACATGACATATTGGCAAATGAAAATTACTTAATATGTAATAGGAAGTGTCATAAACATTGTTCATGACACAGAGTAGCTTGCATTCACTTAACATTAGCCCAAGAAAAGAAAGGTGAATAACCCTGCGTTCACCATTGCTAATTTAGTGTTGGTTGGCATTGTCTCGTCAGCAGTGCAAGCGAGTTGGGATCCGGGCATGCAGCTGCAGCTCCCTTCCCTCCTGGCAGCGAGCGTCATCTCGGTGCAGTGGACAGAAGATAATCAAGAGCGTGTATTATGATTAGTAGATCCTGTATGCATGCAAGCACGTTCAAGTTTAATATCAAACTGGTATTAAAAATTCTGTTTTCCTTTTTTCAACAGAGACATAGCTAGTGCAATAAAAGAACTTCTTGATACAGTGAATAATGTCTTCAAGAAATATCAGTACCAGAACCGCAGGGTAAGTTTGGTAGAAATCTTGCTAGTTGCTTCTGTAGCTGATGGTTTAGATTTCGTGTTTGTGTGTTTGTTTGTTTGTTTTTTTAAGCACTAACGGGGTTTGATTATTGCAGATAATTTTGTGTTACTAACTGTTGGATTTGTTCTTGCATTTAAGCATGCTATGGTTCATGTGTTGAAAGAGATACTCTTAAAAATGCTTACCTATAATAAAAAGACCATTCTGTATTCTTTGTAATTTGCTGTGTTTGACTCTGTCTTTTGTGGAGTTTTTTTCCTACTTAGTATTTTTTTATTGTTATTTTTCATGTCTGTAGGCACTTGAACACCAAAAGAAAGAATTTGTAAAATACTCCAAAAGTTTCAGTGATACTCTGAAAACATATTTTAAAGATGGCAAGTAAGTAACGTCCTTTATCCTTTTCTTTTAAAATTAGAGGATGCGACTCTCCGTGATTCTAAAACCATATAAATGAAACCCTTTCACTGTATTACTAATACTCAAGGCAATTAATGACAAGAGCCAAGTGTTATGCATAGAAAATGCTGGTTGCTGATCCAGTTGTGACTGGTGTGAGAGTTGTTGGACTTTTCCTGAGAAGTGTCACAGAATGACAGTTCCAGCTGCGGCGGCTCTTGGTCTCCCTACACCCTGCTTCCAGAGGGGGAAGCGACTGCAGGCATTGTGGAACCAAATGTGTATGACTTTCTTCTAATAAAACTCTCTGTGTAGTCAATGGAGCATCATGTTGTGTGATTTGCACCTATCACATAACATCTTTTGTAAATCGTTTGGTAACCAACTAAAATTTTAAGAACCTTTTTTTTCTGTCCTTCCTTACCAATCCCTGATTTTCAGAGTTAATTGGCATCCAATTTGGGTTCATTTCAAAGAAGTTTCAGTGCTACTGAATTGTAGGTCTCTGTTGGGAACACTACACTGGTGTTACAGGCAGAAGTTCTCGATTCTTGTCTGGATGTTTAGTTACTTTGGATCAGTTTTGAAAATCACTTCCTAAGCTCCACTCTGACAGATTCTGATTGCATGAGCTTGTGTGGCACGTCAGGAGGTGAGTGAGGGTTTGGTGCCTCAGCAGTGGTGATCCACCGTCTTGGCAGGTGTAATTGGGCATGGAGTTTAGCCTTTAAGTGCAGTTATATGAAGGCGTTATAGAAAAATCAGGGTATTTTATGTGTTTCCATACATACTTTTGCATATGTATAAAGGATGTATTGATGAAAAAAACATGGCATGTCACCTGAAGTATTTTACCACAGGGTGTGATTTGTACTTGAGAAGGAATGCTGCAGATCTGTGCACAGCACCAACTGCTTAGAGTAGCAGAATAATCTGGATAAGCGGCTCAAACATCTACCTGCCAGCAGCGTTTCACATTCCCTCGAACATTTCCACTGTTACAGTACTCTAATAAAACATTTAAAAAGAATGCTGAATTCAGTTCATCTTCAGAGTAAATTTTAATAGTTAAAAGACATTGAAAAATAGTTGTTATGTATGCACTTATAAATTAACGATACTGAGATTTTGTCAGTGACTTTTTTTATTTGAATATATAAGGAAAATGTTCCAGTGGCCAAGCTTAGTAAGCTAGCAGTTGTGTTCTGAAAATGAATTTTTTTCTGTTTCTTGTTCTCTTAAGTCTATATAACCAACAACAAGTTAAAATTATAATTTCTAGTTTAGAATCAATATTTCTCATTCCTGAACTAATTCAGATTTATTGTGGATTAAGTACATTGAAAGGCAGAGTCAGTTTAAAGCCTAATTTTCATGAAACACAAATTATCCCCGCGGACTATTCAGGTTCCTTTGCTACTTTTCTCCATTTGGCAGCTTCTTCCTCGATTTGTGAATAATGTGTCATGAGAAAGTTACCTTTAAGCCATCATGCAATAGAGGGATGAAATTGCATCAATTCTCTAATTTTTCCTGGTCCCTCCTTTTTTTGAGAGCTGTGGATGAGGAAGAGACAAGTGCTGGAGAGGCACAGTAGGGCTGGGGTGGGTCTGTGCTCTGAGGAAGCTGGCGTGTATCAGGCCGACTCTTGAGTGTGGGAGCCACGTGATTGCCCTTGTCCAAGGTGCATTAATTCTTAAGGCAGCTTACAGTTTTCATGTTTTTTAAAACACAGTAGCATTCTAATGAATCATATTGGATTTAATTTTGCTCAAAACTTTGAGTAAAATTTTTTTATCAAATTTTACCTTAAGTGTCTAAGAAACCAGCTTGAGACCACTTCTGAATCTTCTTCTTTGCTATCTGAGATCCTTTATTTCATTAACTTCTATGAGGCTCTTCTCTTTGGCCATGCCCGGTACTCTTGTAACCATGTCCCAGCCTCCTGGTGGTCGCCCTGGGCCCCTGTGAGCTGTCCACCCACCTGCAGGCCTCAGAGGGCTGGTTCCCAGACAGAAGAACCACCAGGGGGCAGTCATCTCTACATGCTTAGCTTGTAAATGCTGCAAAATCATTAAATCCAACGTGAAATAAAAGTGATAAAGTCATTGCTAGCATACATCTTGCCTTATTTGGTTTAATCACTGCCATTGAAACATGGCATTAAGTAGAAATGTTTTAAAGGGATGGAATTTTAGGATGAAATTAACACATTTCTTTTCTTTTTAACAGGGCAATAAATGTGTTCATAAGTGCCAACCGACTAATTCATCAAACCAATTTGATACTTCAGACCTTCAAAACTGTGGCCTGAAAGTTGTGTATGTTACGAGATGTACTTCTCAGTGGCAGTGTTGAACTGCTTTATCTGTAAATTTTAAAGTTTGACTGTATAAATTATCAGTCCCTGCCAAGGGATGGAATCCAGGATGTTGAATGGGATTATTGCCATCTTACACCATATTTTTGTAAAATGTAGCTTAACCATAATCTCACACTGAAGATTTTGCATCACTTTTGCTATTATCATTCTTTTAAGAATTATAAGCCAAAAGAATTTACGCCTTAATGTGTCATTATATAACATTCCTTAAGAGAATTGTAAATATTGGTGTTTGTTTCTGACATTTTAACTTGAAAGCGATATGCTGCAAGATAATGTATTTAACAATATTTGGTGGCAAATATCCAATAAATAGTTTACATCTGTTAAACATTTCTTTACTTGAAAAAAATGCATGTGTGTGTGCGTGTGTGTGTATTTATATGAGATCAAAAGGCTACGAGATCTTGGTGTAATGTCTGAAGAACTTTTAACGGGAACTTACTAGCAATTTATCAAATAATATAGCAACAAGAATTTCTATTTTTGTCCCTTAATCATTTTGGGCAAAAAGTATTCATGGAAGTATTTTTGTTAGTAATTACATATGAACTACTCAGTATTTTTCCATTGTTTTCAATCTATTTTAAGAAACTTCTGAGAAAGAGGTGGCAGTGTATAGTATGTCCACACTATAACGTCACTTTTTTAGCTCTGGCAATATGGATTTGATTTTTTGAACTCTGACAATGTAGGTTTAAGTCTTGGTATACTGGGCCCTAACAAGTATGCACATTTTTTTAACTAACAACAGTTAATAGTATTTTGAAGTTACACCTGTAGTTGTTTTGAAATTGTTGTGAGTGTTACTCCTATATACACTCTGTAAAATGTACAATTTGTTTTGCCATAGAGAGGATCAAGGAAATTATGTATGAAGTATTCGTGTTAAGTGATTGCATTTTTAATTATAAAAATAAAATTCGCAATTTGTTTATCTTTGATAAAGATTTTAAATGTAAAACTAAATCTGCTGGCAATGATTTTCCTTTTGCTGTAATGCAATATTTTAAGTTCTCCATTTTTAAACAGTGGATTTTTATAGAATTACTATCATTGGCAACATAAAAATGAGTCAAAATTATATATGAACAAGAAATGGGGAAAGGATCAGAAAAATATACAATTGGGTAAAATCTTTTATTGGGCATTTTATTGAATTGCTTTCATTTCTTCCAAGACAGAAAAACTTTACAGCACAGAATAATGTTCTTTAGTATTCCTTTTTAGCATGAACTGTCATTCCCTCTCGGAACTACATGGACTAGATGGATGATTTTTTGCAAAACAGACTTGTAAACATATGGGAAAAAAAAGGTAGTGTTTGATTTGCAGCAGACTTCTCTGACGTAAAACAAAGCCTGTCATGATTCCTCCTGTTGTACTGACTCCCTTAGCAGAACTGACCAGTGGGCAGGCTGGCCCCAGTGCTCTGACTCCTGCTCCCTGGCTGTAGCTTCGGGGAAGGGCCGAGGCTCCAAGGCAAGTGACGCCCTCAGAGTAAAGGAAGAAAATACTGCTGTATTTACATTTATTTACTTATCCTTAGCTGTCCCTCCTATGATTGAAGTAGCCAGAAGAACTTAGGTTACCCATTAGAACTGCTGGGACTGTGCAGACTTCATGAACACGGGCTCTCCCACTGCTGGAAATGTAGGATACTGGTTCCCACAGGCCAGTATGACACGCCTCTGCCTGGTCCACAGTAAGCTGAACAACATCAGGATAATGTATTTTTCATAAATGTGAATGTGTGCATTTTGAAGGATCATTGTTTGCACAGGATTGCTACTTAAATTTACTCATTTTTATTATTTTTTTCTTTTTCCGCCTCATTTTTATTCTTTATTACTATAGAAGGTACCTCTCCACTTGTTTTGAAATAAAGAAAGGATGTGATAATGAATAATAGGATTCCTTTTTAATGATTGGATTCTAATAACCCTTATTGGGCAGACATGAGGTTCTTTAGCTTTGTATAAGAATGCATTTTCAGAGCTGCCAAACATTTAGAGTAGAAAGAACAGTGCAGAGAACATGCACGTGACCTTGTACCCAGATTCACCTGTTAAACCTGTAGCCCGTGTTTACTCACTTGTTAGTCTGCTCTCTATCAGCACTTACATCTTTTCTGTGGTTCATTTCCACGGCCACTCTTGTCTTAAATGGCATTAACAGGCTTTTGAAGAATACATTCCTGTTCCCCCTTCCAAACTTTCAGTAAATTTTTCCTGTTTGGATTTTCTAATGGTTGTGTTGTAAGTGGTGGGCACGGTATGGATCCTCACAGGGTTAGACCAGTCTTGACCCTGGGATGTTAGTTTGGGTCAGCTGGTCAATACAGTGTTTAGTTTCTCCAATGTGTAGTTACCATTCCCCCCCGCCCCGAGATTCCCTTGTTTCGAAGGCTGAGTTAGGGAGAGAGATCTGACGTCCACCAGTTCTCTCCCCAGATGGCCACAATGGCCAGAGCAGAGCCAGCACTCCTCATCTCCCATGTGGGAGGCAGAGGCTCAGGCACATCACACATATTTGCTTTTTCAGGCAGGGACTTCCCATTAAATTACAAGGCTGCGTGGTAACTTATTTTACAAGCAATAAGCAGGATGTTTTGATTTTTCTTTTTAAAGAATTTTTTTTGGTGTTGCAAGGTCTTACAGAGAGAAGGAGAGACAGAAATAACATCCCCAAGTGGCTACAAGGACCAGAGCTGAGCTGATCCAAAGCTAAGAGCCAGGAGCTCTTCCAGGTCTCCGACATGAGTGCAGGGTCCCAAGGCTTCTGGCCATCTTGGACTGCTTTCCCAGGCCACAAGCAGGGAGCTGAATGGGAAGTGGAGCAGCTGCTGACAATAGAACTGGCGCCCAAATGGGATCCTGGCACATGCAAGGCGAGTACTTTAGCCAGTAAGCCATCATGCCAGGCCCGCAATAAGCAGTTTTGAAAACTTGCAAGACAAATCTCCCATTTTCTGGCTTACTCCTCAAGTGCCCGCAGCACCCTCAACTAATCAAAGAACAGGAGCCAGGAACTTGAAGCTTCCACATGAGTGAAGCTATGCCTGCTGTCCACTGAGTGCATCTTGGCAGGAAGCTGTGGGGTGTGGCCGTCTTACTAGGCCTTTTTAAAGCTATGCTAAAGTCCTTCAGAGATGAACCATCTGGGTGCAGGCTAGCAACGTTCTTCCCTCGCTTCAATTGCAGTTTACCATTCTTGCTTAGTCTTAGCTTGCTGTTCACGAGATGGCTTTGCAGCTGCAGCACTGTGTCTCAGGCACACAAGAGCCCGTGCTTGCCCGCCATTCACCCACCTATACTCACAAGAGTGCTCGCATCTTACTGCAGTAGACTCGGTTTTCTGCTTGCATGCCTACCCGCAGTGCTTCATAATTCATCACTCTTGCAATAGGAGCTCATTGAGGCAGCAACCCCTGTCCTTGCATCATCTTTTTTACAACAGGTATTATGTAAAAGATGTTCCAGAACCTGGGATCAGCAATCTCTCTATAAAGAACTGGGGAGAGGGGTTTTGTTGGGTACATAGATTTGGATTGTGGTTGTACCTTCTCCAATGGGGTGTCTTCCTCTAAGCCATTTGGCAAACTCGGCCAAAGACCTGGAGACACTGGACTGATGGCAATGATGCTAGCATCACCATTAATAAAATACAACTAATGTCATGTATGAACGAACTTCAAAACATTGCTTGAGTGCCCGGTATGGTAGCCTAGCAGCTAAAGCCCTCGGCTTGAACACGCCAGGATCCTATATGGGTGCTGGTTATAATCCCGGTGACCCTGCTTCCCACCCAGCTTCCTGCTTGTGGCCTGGGAAACCTGTCAAGGATGGCCCAAGGCCTTGGAACCCTGCACTGGTGTGGGAGACATGGAGGAAGTTCCAGGATTCTGGCTTCAGATCAGTGCAGCACTGGCCATTGCGGTCACTTGGGGAGTGAATCATTATAGGGAAGATCTTCCTCTCTGTCTCTCCTCTCTGTATATCTGATTTTGCAATAAAAATAAAATTTTTTTTAAAGTTGCTTGGAAAAAGAAGTAAAAATTTTAAAAATGTGAACTTTCTCAGCGTAAGCTCCATATGGCTCAAGACACTTGTGATGCCAGCCGTTCGGCACATGCCAGAGGAAGTGAGATTTGTGAGATCATATTCATGCAAATGCAGTCTTTTTCACATTGTCACCTGAAGGAAAAGGTAAGATGAGGAAAGAAGTCAGAGGGGCCAGTGTGTTGAGGGGCTTTTGTTTGTTTGATGTGGTACAGTTCCATAGGCTCAGGGACATCCCCTCCCACCTTCCCCAATGGTCCTCACCCCCACAGTCTTCCCTTCTGTTACAGCGATGTAGTCCAGAGGCAGCAACCGCAGCTGCATCGTTCTGGCAGTGTATCACCCCACTAGGTATAGCCATGGGTACAAGTTCCAGCATCCTGCTGTCAGGATCCCTTCAGAGATGCACACTGCACTGGGTCTTTGCTCCTTGGGATGCTAGTAGGAGCCAGTTTTTGTCTTGGCTTAGTCATGCACTGAACTGTTTCAGGTTCTGCTGCTTCGTTTCTGACCCAGCTTCCTCCAGCCTGGGAAAGCAGTGGATGGTAACTCACGTATCATCTTCCACACAGGAGACAGATGGAGTCGGCAGTTCCTGACGAGCTCAGACAGGCCTGGGCATTGTTGCTGTTGGGACGGGAAGCAGCAGACGCAGGGTCAGATTCTCTTTCCACACTGGCTCCCTCCTCCGTTTTTGCCTTTCACATAAATACTTCAGAAGTCAGAAATAACCAGCTCAAAACTACACCACTGCCTGCACACACAAAGTTAAATGTGCTTGTTCACACGTGAGAATGAATTCACAGTGCTGCTTCCACACCATCCCCCCTGGATTCTTTCTATTGCCTTCATGATGCTGTGCCTCTACCCCAAATCCATCTCCTCATTTACTCCAGTAGATGCCTGTAATACTCTCACATCAAGTAATTGTGTGTTTTTTTTGTTGTTTTGTTTTGTTTTGTTTTTTGCGTTAAGTTTTTATTGGTTTCAATGAGCCTTTAAGTGTGTTTTTTTAAATGTACCTTTTAAACATTTCCCCAAAATTTATAGGAGCATGAAAGTTATGCTTGACAGAATTATTTAGATCTATCCAATGTCTGCGATTAGCTATTAGCAGACATAAATCAGTGTTACGTTTTTGGTGATAGCATTTTTTGTTTTTGTTTTTGTTTTTTTAATTGTTATTAACATTGTATTATGTGATACAGTTTTATAGGCACTGGGATCCCCCTCCCACTCCTCCCACAACCCTCCCCCCCCATGGTGGATTCCTCCATCTTGCTGCATAACCACAGTTCAAGTTTAGTTGAGATTCCTTCATTGCAAGCATATACCTAGCATAGAGTCCAGCATCTTATGGTCCAGATAAGTTCAGCGGCCTCTTGGGGAGACCTTCTCTGGTCTGAAGGTAGAGCTAACAGAGTAAAGTCCCGGTCAGTTAAAACCTCCAACAAAACATCAGCAACAATATACAATGTTATGGAATTAATTGACATAGTATTGAGTAAACAACATGTTAAAAATAATGCAAGTTCAATTCTTCAAAACACACAGGTTGAGACAGTATCAATGACAGGTTCAAAAACAAACAAAAATTACAGGTTAAATCAAGGCAAACATGGTATCTAACCTTTTGGGATTCTCTCATTTCCCTTAGCATTATAATTTCCAGTTGGGCCCATTTAGCCACAAAGAACTGCATTTTGTTTTTCTTTAATAGCTGAGTAGTATTCCATGGAGTAGATGAACCAAAGCTTTCTTATCCAATCTTCTGCTGATGGGCATTTCGGTTGCTTCCATGTTTTGGCAATTACTGATTGTGCTGCTATGAACATAGGGATGCATGTTGGTTTGTCGTGAAACAGGTGTTTTGGATATACTCTTAGGAGTTCTGTTGCTGGGTCATGTGGTATGCAGATTTTGAGTTGTTTGAGAGTTCTCCATACTGATTTCCATAAAGGCTGTACCAAACTGCAGTTCCACCAGCAGTGGAGTAGGGTTCCCTTTTCCCCACATCCTTGCCAACAAGCGTCGTTGGTGTTCTTGTTTATGTGGGCCAATCTTACTGGTGTTAGGTGGTACCTCTTTGATGTCTTAATTTGGATTTCCCTTATTGCCAGGGAACTTGATCATTTTTTCATATGTTTGTTTGCCATTTTGGTTTGTTCCTTTGTGAAATGTTTGCCCATTTCCCGTGCCCATTTCTTGAGTGGCTTGTTTGTTTTGGTTTTTTGGTTGTTTTGGAGTTCTTTGTATACTCTGCAGATTAGCCCTCTATCTCCTACATAGTGCACAAAGGTCTTCTCCCATTCTGTGGGTTGCTTTTTTTTACTTTGCTGATTGTTTTCCTTGCTGTACAGAAGCTTCTTAGTTTGATGAGGTCCCATTTGTTTATTCTGTTCTTAACTGCTATTGATTTTGGCATCCTTCTTGGAAAGTCAGGACCTACTCCTAGGTCTTGCAGGGTATTTCCTACATTTTCTTGCAAGAGTTTGAAGGTTTCTGGATGTAGATTTAGGTCTTTTATCCATGTAGATTGGATCTTAGTGTATGGTGATAGATGTGGGTCTATCCTTTTGTTTCTGCAGGCTATCAGCCAGTTGTCCCAACATTTACTGAAGAGGCCTTCCCATTTGCTTGGACTGTCATTGGTCTTTTTGTCAAAGATTAATTGGCTGTATTTGTGTGGGTTCCCTTTTGGTGTTTCAATTCTGTTCCATTGATCTTCCTCTCTATGTTTGTGCCAGTACCAGGCTGTTTTGATAATCACTGCTCTATAGAATGTCCAGAGGTCTGGAACTATGATTCCCCCTGCTAACTTCTTGTTCTTCAGGATGGTTCTAGCTATTCATGGTTTTTTTGTGTTTCCAGATGAACTCTTGAATCATTGTGTCCAGTTCCGGGAAGAATGTTTTGGGCAATTTGATTGGAATTGCATTGAAAATATATATTGCTTTTGGTAGTATAGACATTTCATTGATATTGATTTTACCCATCCAGGAGCATGGGATGTTATTCCATCTTTTGAGGTCTTGTTCAATTTCTTTTTTGAGTAGTTTGTAGTTTTCTTCGAATAGGTCTCCTACACTTTTGGTTAGATTTATTCCCAGATACTTCATACTTCTCTCTGCTATTTTGAATGGTATCTTGCTGGTTAGATCTTTTTCCATCTTGGGGCTTTTTGCGTACACTATGGCTGTTGATTTTTGTTCATTGTAGTTCCAGCACCCAGTATGGGGACCGCTTCAAGCTCCAGAGACTCCAGTCCGCTCCACCGCATTGCTGATGGCACAGGAAGCTGCTGCGAATGGCCCAAGTGCTTGGGAGCAACACCCACCTGGGTGATTCAGAAGATCTTGGCTCTTGGTCTCACCCTGGTCTTGCTTTTCCATTGCAGTCACTTAGGGAGTGAATCAGTGGAAGGAAGATACCTCTCTGTCTCTCCTTCTTTCCCTAACTGAGCCTCTCCAGTAAGATAAAATAAAACTTCTTAAAACAGAAAGTACAGTTAGTTTGAACATTGTTCAGCAGATCAAAAATACAGGCGAATGTAAAACTCCCTAGTATTAGTAGGGAATCTGCTTTCTCAAAAGACCGCAGGATTATTTTCACCATTACAGGTGTCTCAGCCGTGGTGGGAAGGGAAGAGTGGGCTGCACCAATTCCTGCCTCCCTCTTCTCTGCTTTTCTGAGGTCCTGGGTCAGAACTGGGGACAGAGTGATGCTCTCACACATGTTGATGAAATTCGTCACAATTGCACATATGAAAGTAAAAGATTTGTTTTGCAAAGTTATTGAGAAATTTGCTTTAATAAGTGGCTTGGAGAGAATTGAAGATAATCTCAAATTTCACTTATGTCATTAATTGTATCTTTTCACAGATTTCTATGTCTTCTATCAATGCTATCCATGTGCAGGGACTTTCCCGGGTAACTCAAGATGACAGGTGAATGTCCCTTTCACCCATGTAATTTTTCAAATGAACATTCATTACTAAACTGTTGTTTCCTGTTGCTTAAGGCTCTGTGCTGGGTAGAATACAGCTGAAGGCATCACTGAGGCATCGTTATCATTCCTTAGCCGTTAATCTAGTGGGAGAGAGAGCTGTAGACAAATAATGTATTACAGAGCAGAGAGAAAAAGTGCCAGGGTTATCAACAGAGCACAATGACTGCAGTGTGGAAGGAGTGATTAGTTTGAACTGAATAATAATAATAATAATAATAATAATAATAAAAGATGCAAGAGGAGGGGAATAAACTGTTTATTGAAGGCTTCCAGGTGCTGTAGGCTTGAGGTTTCCTTTGAAGTGTATGGTGTTGGGTCACTGGGGCCTCAGGGAAGCCCAGTATTCCAGAAGCAGGAAGCCAGTGGGAACACACCTTTCTCCTGCTTGACCAAGTGGGAACTGGACATGAAGCATCCTGGCCCTGAGATGGGTTGATGGGCAATGGGTTGGTAAGAGGAACCTGGAGCCTTTGTCTATGTGAGTAACTTTAAAAAAATGCTGCTTATAAATTGAACATGCACATCTTTATGGGGCACTCAGTGATGGTTCAGTATATGTGTACACTCACCAATCAGGGCTCTAGTTTTTGTTTTGTTAAAACGAAGAAATATGTTATCTTCACCCTGCTGTGCAATATAACCACTGAACTCCTTTCTTCCTTCTGTTTGCTGGTAATCTAGTGGCAGTCAGTCTTAAAACTTGTTTCAATTCAAGTGATGAAGTGGCTTGAGAATTGTAAGCAAAGATTCACAATGTTAGTCCGACTAGGTCTTAGTGTGAATAAAAGTCAAAGGGAAGAGAAGTCAAGGCAAGAAGAGATGTATATTTAGGTTGGTGGGAATAAATAATGGGGGAGAAAACAAGTAAGAATTTTGGTGTGGAATGGTGAGTTATGATAAAAACACAGATGGAAATTATTCAGTACTGAGTCTCCAGAGAGTTCAAAGGCAGTGGATGTATGAGCTTACTCTGCCCCTGTGGTGCCAGTGCTCCACTAAGCCATGCCCTCAGCAGGGTCATTGTCAGCCTTCTGCCCTGACTGCCAGTTCGCTGGAGGTAAAGATTGTGTTCATTTTTTAAAACAGTCCCTAAGGAGTCTAGGATGGGCCTGAGCTGGTGGCAAATTTTCGTAAAGCCATAATTGATTCATGGTAAACAAGCAGGTGAATTTCAGCAGTCAAGGGACTGCTTATAGATTTTACAGGGCTGTAGAAATTTACCCTGAAAATGAGCAAAACTGTCGCAAAGAAGATCAGAGCCATTTATGACTATATGATAAAGATTTATTTTTAAAGTCATACATTTCCAGAAAGAAACTATGTCAATTGATTAACTACTAGCTGCTCATTATACTTTTGACTAACAAGAACATTTAGAGCTATGTCTGTGAAAGCTAAATAGGCAGAGCAGCTTGATCGTCTGAGAATAATTAGAAAATTTTGCATCTTCAGCCAGTGGGATGCTTACCTCTCCTGGAGCAGCCTTAAAGGATATTTCTTCTATTTCCCTGTTTCTTCCCTCATTAGTGCCTGCTACTAAACTAAGCAAAGATCTCTAGAATACCACTATAAAATGTTTTATAACATGTATGTGACTAATCCAGGTGATCTATGCTATTATTTACTTGCTAACTAGCATAGCAAAGACAATTTTGTTCTCATGTGAAAGAACCCTAGGGGAAATTGATCATCCTTGGACTTAAAAAATATTTTTCTGATTGACCTTAAGGGATAAGGCAGGAAAGGCACAGGTGTGTCAGTACATCTCTCTGTGCTGTGCCCGGAACCCAGGCCGTGACTGCTGCACATCGCTAGCTGACTCACAGCGTCTGGCTCCCCAACACAGCATGGCTTGGAGCACATTTTGGAGTTATCACAGAAGGTAACTAGGCAGGTAACAGCTCCCACTTAATTGTACAATGCCCTTAGGAAGTGGATCCAAGTCCGCTTCAGAGTTAACAAACACATGCATTTTACTAAGTGACCTTAACGAATGAATAGAGGCCCATGGTGGATACATGAAGTGAATCCTATTTTTTTTAACATTGCTGCAGGAATGCCCACAGGATGCTCCCTTCTTTGTGTTGTGCATCCTTCATGATGAACCTGCCACAAGCCACAGCTTGTAAGATGTTGGCGTTGGATGAACCCTTACAGAGGTTCCAGTGACAATCTGTCAGCACCATGAGGGGTTCTGGCTCCAGCACAGGCTCGGGAGCTCCTGCAGGTGTCGTGCTCTGTTCTGTATCTCTGGTATGTTCATGGTCTCTCGAGATGGTGAGTCTACCTGCTTTCTAGACCTGTGAAGCTTAAACAAGATAAGGAGGATAAAAGCTAGCATATTGCCTAAAACAATCATAAATTCTCAAAAACTTGATTTTCTCTGACTTCTCTGATTTGTAAGTGATTTTATTGTTAGATTTATGATTGTGCTATGCAGTAGTTCCCCCTTCAATTGCAAGGGTTGAAAATTTTTTGAACCATTTCTGTTTTATGTATGAGAGTATTTTTAAAAGTTTACAGAAAATAGAATTCAAATAAGCTTGTTTTTTGGTGGAAATCCATGAGTATGAGGGGTCTTAGAAAAGTTTATGAATTGTGTGTTCTAAAGCAACTACGTGTGAATTTCAGAAAGTTTTGCACTAAAATAAATGGTTTTAAATTTTGTGTTTCCATGAACTTTTTGAACTCATACTAGTAATTCAAATAAAAAGAACATAGAGAATGGATCTTGTTAAAATGCTGAATTTTACACAACACTGTGTTTGCTTCAGCAGCACACATGCTGGAATAAAATACTGTGCAGAAAATAAGTAACTTCAAGATGTTCTGCTATTTTCTTGGAAAATGCTTCATAAAATAGAGCACTTTGTTTAGAAAACATGCTTGTGAAAGTTTTGGTTATGGGCCAGCACTGCAATAGAGTGGGTTAAGCTGCTCCCTGCATTGCTGATATCTCACATGGGTGGTGATTCTTGTTTAGGCTGCTCCACTTGCAATCCAGTTCCCCATTCATGTACCTGGGAAAGCAGGAGGCGATAGCCTAAGTGCCTGGATTCCCTATACCCCTGGGAGGCCTGGAGGAAGCTCTGACTCCTGGCTTCATCCCAGCTCTGTCCATCTGGGGGTGAGCCAGTGAATGGAAGCACTCTATTTCCATGGTCTCTGTAACTTTGCCTTACTAACTACCTAAGTACGTGAAGTTTTTTTCGAAGTAGCCGAGTAAGTGGACAGGCATCTGGCACAGTGGTAAGATGCTGTTTTGGATCTCACATCAGAGTGCATGGGCTGTAGTTCCATCTGCATCACCAGTGCTGCAGGAGATGGCTGCAAAGCTTGGGGCCCAGCTGCCCATGTGGGAGACCTTGAAGGAGCTGTTGAGCTCTGGGCGCCTGCCTCAGCTGCAGCTGTTGTAGACAGTTAGGGAATGAACCAGCAGGCAAGGGATTTCTCTCTGTCTTTCAAATAAATGTAAATAAATATATGCAAAAACCCCTATGCATGATGTGGTTTAATTAAAAATGACTGTCTGAACTGCCTTGAATTCAGCATTTACATTACATATTCAGAGCTTCAGTTCAGTCATTAGTTAGGGAGAAGGAGGGGAAAGGAAAGTTTTGCTTGGTTTCATGCTGGTTGCCTGGAAACATACCAAGACAGCAGGAGCAGATGAAACAAACAGCTCCAGGTTGCTGGGAAGGAGGGTGGCCTTCAAAGGCAGGCCTTTCCTTGGGAAGGGATCCCCACAGCTGCTCCTTCCAACCAACGCCTCCGGACTAGAACATCTTCCTGTCGATGGAAGCCAGGTTAGCCAGAGATCTTTGGAAGTTGCTTTTCTAATGCATTTGAAAGAAGATTAGCAGCTGCTTTCTGTGCCAGTTGTTATAAATATTACACATTTAGAGTCAAGCCCCGTCCAACAGAGTTTAAGGAGGGGGTGTTTTAAAGCCCTTAACTGTGAATTTTGATAAAATACACTGTAGAATCAAGTAAGTGAGGGGGCTGAAGCTTTCATTTCGGGCTTGAACTTATGCACTTTTGCCTTCTAATTGCATCCCTTGAAAGGCTGGTGCTTTCATTTTGAAATTCTATGGTTTAATCGGATTTCTTTTCAAAGGCACCTGTTGGAGGAAAAGAAAAAATATATATAAGCATAGTTGAAGGCTGCAGAAAAGAAGTGAAACCATTATGAGTTACCACAACCCTGTACTTGAGTTAAACACAAGGTCACAGCCTGGGCCAAGGAGTCCTGAAAGAGCAGAAGCTGTAACTGCAGGTGAAGACTATGGCACACACTTACTTGAAAACCAGCTCTGTGTGGGTGACTTTGTGAAAATACAGAGAGCTTTTGAGGTAAGTGCAAGCTTACTGTCTGAACAGTTTGAACCATTCCTCAAGGACAGTAGAATAAAACAGGAAGCTCTTTCTCTCTTTCTCCCTTTGGAATTGAAATTCATTGGTCAAGCCTGTATTCTATACCATGTACTTGGTGAATGTGCAGCTCATTTCATTCAGCCGAATACTTGGTATGGGATTGCTGTACTTGGATAGCATTGCTGTCAACTTTTGACTATTTGTGCACAATATTTTTCTTAGAGATCAACACCTTTTTAGGAAACCAAACCCTAAGAGTTGTGAGAAAAGCTGAATCTGTCAGTATCTACTGGTAATGACCGTTGGTGGCATGTAACATGGCTGCAGGCATAGGGAGCTACAAGTCTGTCCCTCCAAGACTCTTGCCTCACTCTGAAGGCACAGCCGCTCTCCACAATGACCACGGTGCTCTCTTTGTCCTGGTGGCCAAGGTGCAAGCTCAGTCTCCAGCTTTCTCACAGGTTCTGGAGTACAGCCAATGAAAACAAGATTAGAAGTTTTCATTTTGATTTTACGTAGACAATAAGCCAGAGTCATTTAACTGTAACTGAATCACTTCCTTCTCGCCATCCCTTAGTCAATTAATTTAGAATTCTGCAGCATGCATAATGACAGCACATAGCAAAATGCTTTTTAATTTCAAGTGCAAGTAGGAAGAAGAGCTGTTCCAGCCTGTAGAATTCAGTCATGCAGAAACTTCCAACCTTTCTTTGTCATTGCCCATGGCACAAGGTGGTCTCAGGGAGCCATTCTGTCCTCCAATGGTACCCATGTTCATGTAAGATAACATACACTATTTTGCAATGACACTTTTGAATTAACAAAACATGATGACATCTAATGATTATTATGGCCAAAAGCTGGCACAATTTTAATCATTAGCTATTCTCCAAAGATGTTGCTGGCACTGAAATTCCACCATACTCTCTGCTATATAATAATTAGATTCTGCCTGTACTAATAAGCTAAGCTTCTACTTGTATTAACTGCTTCATTGTAATAAAATCTATCATATTTAATAGTGAAGACACACTCTGTCCTACATTTTTTCTCTCATTTTAATCTTTATATGTGTGCTATTTATCTAACCTCTTTTGTCTTAAAGATTTCAGTGCTGTTCATGCCCAACGCCCCAAATGGGCTTGGCATATTTTGATAGATGCAGTAAACATTTTGACAGCTTGAGGACATTGAGAAAAAAAAGTAACAACAGATGATGACAGCTTTGACTCTGGAATGAACAAAAATGTGGCAGTTTTGTGCTGGTGCTAAGAGCCCAAGGTAGCTGGATGCTCGAGACGAATTGGCGGGTCCACACGATAAAAAGGATCTGTTGGAGCATCTGCTATGAGGGCTGGCGTTGGTGTGCGTTCTTGGGACAGACTAAGCCTGCTTTTTCTCTGACAATACCTATTTATTTACCTGTGAAACAGTGAGGAGGAGGAAAGAGAGAGTAAAATGCCTATGTACTATTCATTTCCACAAAAACTCATAATGGCCAGGGCTGGGCCAGGTGGAAGGCAAGAACTGTAACTTAGTCAAGGCCTCCCATGTGCTGGCAAGAACTCATGTGTAACAGCTGACAATGCCGACTTCCGGGTTTGTACACCTCTAGTTAGGAGCCGCAGGTGGAGAGCAAATCAGGTATTTTCGGACGTGGAACTCAGGCACCTTCTGGCAGCTTTCTTGCTAGGCCACAAGCCTGCCCCTGCAGATGAATCATTAATGAATTCAAATAATGCTTAGAAATTCAGCCCCAAGTAGTATGTCTGTACTTTAAATATTCCAAAGGTTGGCCCAGTTGTTTTGAAATTACCAGTTGGAAAAACTAGTACTGTAGGAACCAAATGGTGACACGAACATGAGTCTGAGCTAACTTGCACAAACGTGGAGAATCTGTAATTTTTTGCTTAGAGTGTGATTTTAAGAAAAAATGAACTGTATTTACTGTTAATACTCTTGGTAGAGGTAGGCTTGAGTAATCCAATGGCAAATGTCAAAGCAGTGTTGGGACTTTGAGCCACCATGAATATCAACCACAGTGTGGACATGAAGAGATGCCATGATATCAGCAGAATCCAGTCCACCTTTCACGAGCATCAAGCCTCCAGGCCCAGGTGCAGGTGCATGTGAAGGGAAGCAGTGTCCTCAAGTAGCTGTCTGCAAGGAAGGATTTTAAAAGCAATGGTTTTGAGGTTCAGTCCCTGAAAGTGTGTTTTTATAAATGCCGAGTTTCCATCAACAGTTCTCCCATCTTACAGTGTTTCGTTTAAGTCCATGAATTGTTTAGAACTGATAGAGTTGTTCAGTGTTAGGTAAAGGCCATCTCCTTAAACTGCAGCAGCAAGAAGTGAAAAATAGGAAGCTGGGCATTTGAATTGTGCAGTAGGTATTTTATATATGTTGCCAATGAAATAGTATGTGCAATATTGGTAGCAACATTTAGGAATAAAGCAAGTGACACATAAGCTCTTTGTACAATGCAACAAACAAGTCACATTTACTTTGGGTTTAAGAGCCAAAAAAAAAAAAATCTGGCTTCCTGCATTTTGAATTTCAGACTTGTCACCTAAAATTTTACTTTTGCAAACTACTAAACACCTTCCTCTTTTCTTTATTGCTGACAACTAGAGACTCCGTTGCTTTGAGTTCTAACACGGGGAGCATAAGGTGGTGTAAGGATTGAAAGAGGTGTTTTCTGGAGAACACTTTGAAGAGTACTTGCCACACGGAGTATGCATTCTGTTACTATCAGGTATTATTTATTAAGTAGAAGTTGAGCTAGAGGACCCCTGACATTTGCTTTATTCTCATTCATATAGTTCCTAAAGGAAGTGTGGCTTCAAGCAACGCAAGCCAGAATATTCCTACATTGCTTTCCATTGAGTAAGAAAGAATAATGTCTTCGCCTTCTATTTTTCATTTTATGAACAGGCAAAAATC